TGGTGAATATTAACCATGTTGAATTAACCTGAGACTGGGGTAGAGAAGAAACATCAAAATGTAGAAGGGACAGAAAATTGACAGGACGACGGCAGCATCGAGCTGATTCTGGACAACAACGATCAAGAACGGTAAGTGGGGTCAACAACGATAAAAAACGGTAAGTGGGGTCATAGGCTAAGTAAGCGAGAGATCCAAGTAATGCTACAATATATTGAAATGTAGAAAATTTCCTCTACAATTCGGCTTCCGTGACTACTATAGGTCAGCATAATATAGGAAAAAAAAGGTCCAAGTCCAGAAGTGAGGTAATGCTACAATATATTGATTTAAAACGTAAAACTAGTTCACTATAGTATAAAAAGAAAAAAAAAATATTGCTGGTGCTGCCTTCATCGGAGCGGAGTCGCACCTGTACATTTGCAAGGTCGACGCCCGAGAAACTACAATTATAAACCAATATGCGTATTGGCGCAAGCAGGAAACAATTTCAATAATTCTCCAACGAGTCTAACGAAAAATTTACCCCCGCGCGAATTTGGAGCAGCAAAGAAAAAAACACCTGCAGAAGAAAAAACACATAAGTCGCACTGTTGAATAGGGCGCTCCGACGTTATTTTCTAAAACGAAACCCAAAAGTACGAGTCGAATTCTGCACCTCCGTACCAGAAGCACGCGCGGTGCTTTTAGGCCCAGCTTTGGTTGATCGTTGAACTGAGATCACAGACGAACGGGAGTCGGTGTCGCTGCGAAACCAGTAACGTTGGGCGTAACAGCGTTTCGTTACATTTCATCCCCTGGGCATCCCAACCCGAGGCTGTCCAAGTTTCTAGCGCCTGTCTGGCTCTTGAGAGAGGAGTACGGCGTTGGAGGGGGCAAGCGAACAGACGTCGGCCGTATTACATCCGTTATTAGAACACCGCCAGGATCGCGACCATCTGTTCTTTAGATGTTTGAATAGAGAGATAAATTAAATTTAGCTTTACCTTTTGAGTTGGGCGGCATCTTGCGCCACCTAGCCAGAGTTTTCACATTCTTATGGAGAGAAAAAGCAAGCTTTGCTTTTGAATTATAGGGGGCACTTTGCGCCATCTAGCACGAGTCCTTACATTTTATATTTTCATTAAAAGCTAAAATGAGATTTGACTTATAAATTGGGCGGCAGCTTGTGCCATTTAGCGAAAACTTTTACATTTTTATAGGGGGTTAAAATGAGCAAAATGGATTTGTTGGCCTAGTTGGTTAAACATTACGAAAATTAAAAAAGCGCAAAAGACAAGGACAAGAGGGAGACAACACAGGACAAGCGCTTACTCGCAACTGACGTTTTAATTCGGAAGATGAGGGAGATGAAGAACCTTAACGTTAAATGTTAGAAATATTTATGAGAAAGGAGTGAAAGGATCTGAAAAGACTGAGAATTGAAAAAAGTAAAAAAAAAAGAGGAAATTAGTAAAAACAATAGGAAATGGTGGGCATGATTAAAGTAACAGTTAAGAATATCTAAGGAAAATATTTCATGTACTCTAATTCTTTTGATGACAAAGTCACCGAAGGAGCACTGATGCAGGCGTCTCCCTTGGTCGCAATCACTACAGCCTCAAGAATTTCTCCAGTTCGCTTATCTGGACACCTCTTCAGGATCCTTGTGCTGGACAGTAGCGGGGCGCATCTACAGTCCCTCACATGTAGAGCGAGATGCCCCGACGGAGAGGATTTTAAAGGTAGCGCATGTTCTCTGAGCCTTACGTTGATGCATCTTCCCGACTGTCCCACATATACCTTCCCACAGGTGAACGGGACCAAATACACTACCCCGCTGCAACAGTTCACATATTTGTTGCCGTGTCTAACACTGCATTTGTCAGGCTTGACTTGTCTTTTGCGCTTTTTAATTTTCGTAATGGTTAAAATCAGCTCCGTTTTTCTAGTTGGGCGGCAGCCTGCGCTCTCTATCCAAGTTAAAAAGGCAAGGCTCATTTTAGCCTTCCATGAAAATGTCGGCGTAGCGGATACGTTCGCGGAAGCTAGAGGAGGTACTGGAATCAGCACATCGTGTATGCGGTTAATATTGATATTCATTGATCGATATTTATTATAGCTCACGATAGCCGCGGTGTTGCAGTAAGGCAAGTCGCCCATACCATGAAGGCCCGCGGCACTGCGTTTAGTGAGGATGTAATGGTATTGGGTACAGATGAAAGCAAAGTGGAGCTTGTGGGTGAGGGCGGGGTTGATGTTCCGTGTGTCACTGTACGTCGCGGGTGTCACCGCATGAGTAAAGCCCCTCTATCCTGGGAAAAGTGTCGCCATTCATTGTTGTGGAAATGCTTGAGACACGTGCCGCGCGCCACTTCTGCGAAGGAAATTGCGTCTGAAATCAAGCTCAGTGCTGCGCTGTGCCGCCATGATCTTCCCAAGGGCTGCACGTTGCACATACCTAGCTGTTCCACCGACGCACCTTGCGCTACTTTTAAAACATGAAGGGCTTTACGAATGAGCTGTTACGCCACTGAACACTGATCTTTACTATGGGTGGCTGGATAGCGCATTGAGCAGACAGGTATGAAGCCACCGGAAGTAAGCGGCTTGTCCCGGAAGTGAGCGTTTGATAGGCTTTTTAAGTCTCTGAGTTCCTGTTCGAACAGCGTTCAGGCCGCTGGGTATTTTCTTGTCATCCCAAGAGAGCCTGCTCGTTGCGGAGTAACAGTGCATTCAGACCCGAGAAGTCTCCTGGGAAGCCATTCGGTGTGAAAATTTTGAGATTCTAGTTTATCAAGTGTGCGTATGTCCCATGTTCGTATGCCTTGTTCACGAGATTTAATCTAGAACGGGAGTATTAAAACCTAATCAAAGACATAAAAAAGCATGGACCAAAATATCGACTGAATGCACGAAGCCCAGCGTACGCCCAACTTCCGGGACAAGCATAGAACTTCCGATGGTTTCACTTGCGCCAGGCTCGAAGAGCAGCTAAGCGTCATCCAGCCTCCCCCCCCCCCCCCCCCCAACCCACCCCCCTATAATAGGGATCATGCCAGTGAGCACATGAATTAGCATTGCAGGGCGGCCTGGTAGTCACGAACTAGCTTGTCACAGCCCTTAGCGTTACATTGCAGCTGGCTTTAATGAGGAATTCTCTTGGTAGATTGGTAGGCAGATGAGAAATCTACCTTGGTAGCTAGATGAGAAATTTAGCCAGTGCAGTACACCCGCCAGCCTGGGGTCGTTAACGTGCACCAGGCAGTACCGATATACGACCGCGCTCCGGTGCGATGCTCATCCAGATCGAAACGTCCGCGGAGTTCTTCGTGTGGATACCCCTTTAATAAAACCGTTTGTCGTGGTTTTTCCTTCCACCGTGAAAGGAAAAAGTGCGATTCGATTAGGAGCGGTATTCTTCCACTCCTACAAAAGATAAACATATTTTAGAGGAGTCAGAATATCCCGGTTTGAATCGAATAGCGCCGCGTCGTTTTTAACCTTCACAACGACAACCGGGTTTCTTCGCTACGTTAAAGCCAGAGATGACACTGCGCCATTCGATTGAAACGGTATCTGCACACCTGTCTCTTCTTTTTTCTTTTTTTTGCTCTCTTATCTTCGCCTCCATACGATGATCGTCCCATGATACTGTAGGCGGCATTTTTACTATTGGTTTATTTGCAGTTCAGAGCGCAGTCGAGAGGCTAAAAGACACGCAAAAGCACGCAACTAAAAGCGCGTTGGTACGGTACACTTTCCGCGTCTGATTGCGTTAGCCACGAACATATCACGTCGAAAGAGAGATGCAGAGAGCCGTGACGTCATGCTTCCGTGGTTTCTTGATAGGGGCCATCGGCTCGTTGTTGCCTCCTCTGCACTCCGAAGGAACAGGTATCCACCCGACCTCCTACCCCTTCCTGGTTCTCCCTCACTCGTCCGCCATCGTGATCGTTCCAGGATAGCAACCGGCTCTCTTCAAAGGATGACGTTACTTTCCGTATGAAAGGGCTTTAAAGGGGTACTACAGCGAAATTTCGGCGCTTATTTTATGGTCTACATGTGTTCAAAGGAACAGTATCACGTTGGCCACATCAATATCTTGTTAAAAAAGACACGAAAAGGAATTTTAAAACGAATTAAACGATTAGCAAAGAGCACCTGGTGGATGTCGCTAACGCCTCGTTTGTAATGCCCATCTGGGAACCTTGAGAGGTAGTGACGGTTATTGTCTCGCCTCCGGCCACGACGAGAGAAGAGGAAAGGAGGAACTCCCTTCTTCCCGAGAATCCCCTTTGTGTCTCGCAGAAGTCGCTATTGTCGCCCTACAAGATTATAGAAGATTAACCCGTCACTCAAAATTCTTACAAAAGCAGCCGTTTCGGTGGCTGGAACGACTAGGCCATCCTCTCGACGTCAGCCTCGCGGTAGCTTTGCTCGTCCCGAGACGACCTACGTCACGATTGCGTCGGATGTCACGTGCTCTAAGCTGGGTTTTCTCCGAGCGCTTGCCCGAATGGGCCGTTTATAACAAAAAATAGAGCCACCAGGCTCAAAATACAAACGTTCGATTGTCATTTACGGATATTGTGGGTCATATTCAACCTATCTTTGAACACGACGGATATATTTCAAATTTCGTTGAAGTATCCCTTTCAGCTGCGGTCCACACTGCTGTATGTGTACTACATCATGTCTGCCTGCAAACACTGACCAAGGTGTGTTTCTTTCTTCCTTGTGTGACGGTCCAGACACACATTGGTCGTGCAACCCTCGTCTGCAGATACGTTCGAAGAGCTCATGTGTATGTGTCCGCACATGATTTTCTCATCATATCTGCTACGCCCTGTCTTCTGTATGGTGTATGAGCAGTGGCTTTGCTCGGCTTTAGGGTGAGCATGTATGCTTTATCTTCAGGCTGGTAAAAAGCTCTGTTTCGGCACCTGTTTTTTTCTTTTTTTTTTGCTTTGCCAGTTTAAACAACCAAAAGAACGACAGACGGACACGTGACATTTTTCTAAAAGATTAGAAATTTATTTGTGCAACGGGCACGTGGCTCTTAGGATTGCGGTTCGTCGCAGGTGTTGCAGCATTTGCATGGACTGCTGGTGGACGTCGTTCCCCGCGGGCACGCGGCGCAGCGCACAGCTGCGCAGTTGGGCCAGTATTCATCGCGGTCTTCGGGCTTGCAATCTTTACAAAAAACAAAAAAAAAATTAGTTTACGCTTTTATGCGGGAGCCACGCGCTTTAAGTGGCTAAACAGACTATAACAATATTTAGATCCAAGTTTGCAAAAAGGGAGTGCTCAGAATAAACTTTTTTCTTTTTTTTACGTTTCTAAAAATAAATTACGGGAGGGTTTAGCTAAGAATGAATTTGATTTTAGATGAACTTGCTTTCGAAAATGCGCATCCCCCCATCTCATTCAATGTCAGTGAAAGGAATGAGAAGCCTCAGTGTTGCACGAAAGTTCTTCATCGACGAACGAGCTTATCTAAAATATAGGTACTCTCATTTTAGACTCGCTCGCTTTAAAGAAGGAGCACGTTAAAGTGGTATCACAGTCCAGCAATGAAAAGCCCTAGTTTAGATTAGGATTCTTCATCAACAAGCGTGTTCACCAAAACCGAGGACAATTATAGAACTCGTTTTAGAAAATGAGCAAATCAAACCGAATCACAGTTCTGCGAACCAAAAGCTTAATTTTAAATAAGAGTCCTTCATCGAAATGGAGGCACATCTCTGAAGCCACCTCAGTGAGGTAACTGCCACCGCTGACGTAGTAGTAGTAGTAGTAGTAGTAGTAGTAGTAGTAGTAGTAATAAGAACAAGAAGAAGAAGAATTTTGTTGCAAATGAGCAAGCGAATGTGAAGTCAGACCTGCCTAAACCACACTGGGCTTGACTGCCAGCGTCTTACAACCAGTGAAACGAGCCGCATGCAAAAGGAAATATGTAACATAAAATGCACACAAAGAAATGAGAACAAAAAATAAAAAAGTAGGCAAGAGGAATATTTTGCTTGGCTCGCATATAATACTCTCTTAGCGTCCCCCACTGCCAAGAGTAAGCAATGCTCTGCTACGAGTAAATACATATGATCATATGATTTATGATCGGTATTTCTGTAGAAAGTGGTTTCATGAATTTGCCTACATTCTTAGAAATTTTAACTTAGAAACTTTATCAAGCAGAAGAATCGTGCGAGACGTGTTATCTTTTTTTTAATATAATGATTGCTGGCCCGCTCGATTGTGCTTTGTTATGTTCCTGTGAATTTTCGGTCACCTATCAGTGTTAGTAGACATGCATGTCCTTTTTTATGCTTTCCATGGGGAGAAGCTGTGTCCCATTACTCGCATGCAACTTACTTTTTATGACATCTCCACTAACTCTGTGAATAGTTTTGATAATTACGAACATTTAAAGCGTCAAATTTGAGCCACTCTTGTACCAATAGCTACCATATCGTTTATAAACTTTTTCAATGAGATTGTACGCGTGGACGTGTGCATGTTGTTACGAATGTATAGCCGTTTCTGAGCTTCCTCTATCTTGTACTTAAGTGTCTGATACAACGACTTGGGTTGTTTTGAGTCACGAAGAACAAAATAAATAAATAAATAATAAATAAAAAGGCCCAACTTTAATTCAATTTTTTAAATGGCGTTAGGTATATAAAGCTTTAGGTTAACTAGTAACCTTCGTGCTTACTCATCCTTTATTTTTACTTGAAACGGTTTCATCACTTTTTTTTTGCAAATTAATATTAAACAATCGTCCAGTTGAGAATGAAGCAAATTGACTATACCTCTGGGGATGCAGTTCTGACAGCAACTACAAATCGGAATATACGAGTTGTAGCGACATTTGACCTTCGGGCAGTCAGCAGTCTGGCAACTTCGAATATTCAAGTGGCATTCTTCGTCGATGAATACGTTGGTACCTGCCGAGTTTAGCGGGGAGAAAACAAAACAAAAACAAAGGATGAGACCAGAAACACGACATTATGTTACGCAACTTCCATACTCCGTGCGCGCCACGATGTCACGTGACGCCAGAGTGTCACGTGATGTGACGTCACATTTTGAGCACTAAATATAGCGAGTAAAAATTATTCGGGACAGGCGGTGGCATTTAGTTCGCATTACGTGTCACGTCTTTTTCATCACTTTCATTCCACGGATGACGTCACGTTTCACGTGAGCGTTGCGGATTGTTTGAAATTCCTGCGCAAGGTCATGTGGCCTTGACGTCATGACCCTATCAACCAATCAGGATTTTTCCGCAATGCCAGCGACGCTGGCTTTAGTGACAAACGCGCCAGGTGCGCATCCACTATTGGCCCTCTCTTCCCCCCCCCCCCCCTCTCCCCCCCCCCCCCCCTATCTTATTCACAACTCTTACACTGGGCTCTAAACTCGTCAAACACAAAGTTGGGACCGACGTTCATCAAATTCGGTCCCAACTGAGCGCATTGCTTGGACAATCACGACGATGACTTCGCACTTTTGTCGCCGACTCTAACATTGCGCTTGACAAGTTTGGGGTCTCTGGTCATTTAAATCCCCATCATTGTATTCGACGGAATCTCAAATACATGCAATACCCAAGGGATTTTTTAAACATTTTTAAATATTGTTAAGAGGTGTTTTTGTTAATCGGCGGTCGCGGCATCAATGTTACACTTTTTATTTATTAAAAAAAAAATGGCGTCATAACTTTTCGCAAAATCTTCCATCTTTCTTTCTTCGCCAACGGCCGTGAAAATATCATTATTAGAAGGCATTCCCCCTTCTTCCTTTTGCAGTATAATGTCCCTGGTAATGCAAGGTGATCCTAAATAAGAGCATAAATCATAATTAAAAAGCCATACGAAAAACCTTCATAAAAAGTCTGTCCCCCTGTCTATGTTTATTTCATCCCCCCTTTCTATGTGTCTTCCTCGTGTTTAATTACTGTTACCAACACGCTCATTTTGTACTTAAACCATATTTTTTTTTCTCTTGCGTAGGCATAAACACGAACAACGCACCTGCAATGCAGTTCTGACAACACCTGCATATGTCGCCTTCGTCAGCTTCACTCTTGACGTCCCAGCAAACCGACTGGCCCCTGTGATACACGCAGTGCGGATCCCTGCGACACACCTCGTCGGAACAACGAGGCAGGGGACTGTCCGACGCGTGACACCCACACACCAGAGCAAGAACCAACACGAACCGCAGCATCTTCGCTTCTATCACGGACGCCGCGCTTTGACTCAAGTGGACTCAAACCACGACCTCCTGCACAAACAAACGCGTTTTTGAAGCGCACGGCAAGTGAAGCCTCTCGCGTACGAAGACCGACGAATAACCGTTTTGTCTTGGTGCTGTCTTTTTTTTTTTTTTTTTTTCGCGTCCGGTTGCATGTGTAGGTATTGCATGCGATGTCGCAAATTTGTTTTGGCTTCTGTGTCTGTTTCTACGGACGAGGAAACAGCCCTACCGCGTTTCCCGTACCTGCAAAGTTGGCGGACGTCCAAGTGGTGACGTCTGTGACTTTACCAAAATCCATAAATAAGACCATGTCGCGGTGCGAATGGCTTTTCTTTTTCGTTCTTTAGTATCTATATGCCGTTTTATCGTGGGTAGCCAAATGGGTAGCACCATTTTGAGAGCGAGAAAGAAGAGGGGAAAAGGCTGGATGGAATGGATGGATGAATGTTAATGACAATATCCTTTGTAACGGGCGGTAGCTTGCGCCACCTAGCCTAAGTCTAAAAAGACCAACATATGATTACTCCCGCCATTCTAAGACCACTTTTCTCGCCCTAACTATCACCAGGCTGTGTGGGATATCACCAGGATGACCTTCGGGGATCGGTAAAAAAACAGAAATCATCACCCCCCGACTCATCACCCCGGCGAGGGTGTCGACAATTTTCATCTGGTTAAACCTTGTCGGCGTTATCCCAGCACCAGACCCACTGGGAGACAGGGTTGAGACTGTGGGCCGGAGCCACGCGAGAGGGACTCCCAATTTTTCTTTGTCCCGCCTGTGCTAATTAGATGTGCATCAATAAATTTTGCCTTGATAATTTCCACCAATCTTATAATCACCTCTTTGTAACTGTAGCCCCTCTCTCTTCCCTCCTTTCATCGTCGCCAGCAAAACCCAAAGCCCCGGCCAAAACCGTTATTCCTTCAAAGAGGGCATGGCGAAGCCCCTTGCACTTCAAAACCAAGTGCTCTAGTGTTTGGTTTTCTTTATGGCAAGCGGCACATAATGTCTCTGTCTCCCGCAAATTAGCCCTATACGTCCTCGTCCTCAAAACTCCTGTCCTCGCCTCGAACAGCTAATAACTTCCCAATTAATTGTCAAACACATTTTCCTATGTCCTGCTTTTGTGACCTGTATATTGTTAGAGCTGATTTTTCCTGCGTTCTTCCCTCCCCGATTTTCCTTTCTGCCTCTTTCACTCCTTCCTTTACCGAAGAAGTCTGCTCAGCCCCACCACTAGTGTGTAGGATTTTTTTATTTTTTTATTTTTTGTTTGAATAATAATGCCGACCTACTCAAGGCATCTGAGTACATATGTGACATATACAACAGCATAGCTCTAGTTATACATGGCTTCAAAAGACATAGTTGAGAAAAAGTGGAAGGCATATAGTACAAACGCTTCCCAATAAACAGAGGTAACACTTGGCAAATGATGAGTCAAATGAATTCTAAACTCCATCTGGGGCGCTGACAAACAAGTCGAAGGTGTCACTGCCTGCAATTTTGTGAGGCGGGCCATTCCAGTCTCGGACAGTTCTAGGAAAAAAAGAGTAGGTAAAAATGTCTTTTCTACATTGAAACTTTCGAAGAAGATTTTCATGCTTCTGCCGTGTGACTAACTGAGATTGTACGAACTTTATTCCAATCCAGAAACTTCAGACGCTTCACTTTTCTGCGGGTCGATAACTGGGTTAATCCGGGTAACGCATAAAGGGATGACATTAACGTATGCATGCCGTATGCGGTACATATAAATCGCAATGCCTTTTTTTGTACTCCCTCAAGTTTATCAATTAATGACTGTGAAAACGGGTCCCATAAAATGTCCGCGTATTCCAGTAATGGACGAATCAAAGTAGTGTACGCAACAAGCTTGGTTTCCGGGGTACAATGTCGCATAGTCCTTCGAAGACTCCCCAGTTTACGAGACGATTTTGCTATAATGTTCTCTAAGTGAACAGACCAGCTTAAAGTAGATGTAATGGTAATACCCAAATATTTATATGTGACATTTTCTAATGGTACTGAGTTGATAAAATAGCAAAACGAAATTGGAGACTTCTTTAGTGCTACTGTCATTTGCACGCATTTTTTTACGTTAAAATCGATCTGCCATGCTTGACACCAGGAAAACACAGATTGTAGGCTACTACCTAAACATAATTGATCGAAAGTGCATAACACTTTGGCAAACAAAACACAGTCGCCGGCGAAAAGATGTCGCTGAATCCCGGGCTTATCTACGCGCAAATCATTTATAAAAAAAAAAAGAAAAAAGGATCGAGTACTGAGTTCTGGGGTACTCCTGACATGACTAGCAAATCCAGGGACTACGCTTTCCCAGCAGTCATGTACTGTCGACGGTTCGTAAGATAGGAATCAACCCAACGTAAAAAGTAATCGTTATCGAGTATCTGTTTAAGTTTGAACAGTAGTTTCCGATGCGACACCCTGTCGAAAGCTTTCGCGAAATCTAAGGTAGAATCCACTTGGCCATCGTTATCCACTGTAGCAGCAAATTCATGGAATGTGTGGAGAAGCTGAGTAACTGTTGAGTAATTAAGTCGGAACCCACGTTGATCTTTTACCAAAAATTCTGCGGATTCTAAAAAAGTTACATTGTGTTTAAAGAGAAAATGTTCAATAACTTTGTTGCATGTACTTAGCAGCGAGACAGGTCTGTAATTCGAAACGCACTTTTTATCTCCACTTTAATGAATTGGCACAACTTTAGTTACTTTCCAGTCTTTTGGCGCTTCGCCAGTTTTTAAGCTGCAAAAGTATATTTCATAAGGATACTTTGCACTCCATTCCGCATACCTGTGCAATCCGGTCCGGGCCGCATGTCTTTTTAACGCCCAGTCGGAGACGGCTATCAAAAATACCACTTACTGACACTACTAACTCGCCAATTTTACGATGGTCATGGGTAAATGGTGGCATTATAGAATTATCCATGGAATAATCAGTAGGAAAAAAAAACGATTCATCTCGCTTGCTATACTCGGTTCATCGGTGAGCGTGTTCCCGTTGTGGCCAAGTTCCTTGATAGCTAAATTTGTTTTAGTCAAATGTGCGTAAACTTTTCTGGGGTTTTCCCTAAAGAAGTTTGCCGTTTTGACGTTGTAAAAATTAGACGTGCGCACGAGTACCCGTAGCTGTTGGCGAATATGAGAGGAAGCGTACATTTTAAAATTAGTTGGTACCTTTCAATACGATGTATTTTACGTTTCAGGGGTAAAATATCTCGTGTAATCCAAGGACTCTGCTTCTTATTTCTTGAACGCTCCATAACTAATCGGCCAATACATTATAAGACAACATTCCTAAAAAAAAAAAGCCGTACCTTATCAATGCATACACCATCCTGATTGCTTAACTCACAAAATTCTTAAAATGCATCAAATGTAAGTTTTCGGGTTCGGTTTGTCCATTTTGTGTTTAAACTTTTCATGTATCAATACTTGAATGCTTTCCGTGCCCACCGCGTATCATTTATTTCGGTCAAACTTTGTTCAAATTTCAACTTACAAATTGCCTCGGTGCTCTCAAAAGACGACCGGCCCCTGGCCCCCTGTGCTCCCTCATTTGGTGTCTTTCCGTGAACTCCCAGTGCCAATCTGCCTACACTTCTTGGTCGAATCTCTAATCCTGATTGAACCTCTGATTTCATGCACAGTACACCATTGCCAAAAGACAGTCCTGGGCCCGTTTGCTTGAAGCGCTAACCGCGGCTAAAGTTAGCCGCAGTACCTAGGAGGGGGATTTTGAAATCACTTGACTGGGCTCGGTAGGGATGCGGGGAAACATGGCGGTGCCCCAGTGAGTGAGCGCCGCTCGCTTTGGAACTAATATGCCGTTGTAGCTGCAATATCGGGCGCGTTAGTCAGCAACAAATGGTGCAGGAGGTTTCCGTTTTGCCTTACCTCACTCTAATTGCAAAAGCATGGGCGATGACATCGCCGCATTTTTTATATCGTGTTTTGATTCTGGCCATTCCTAAGCCTAAATGAACGCGATAATTGTCGGCATGGCAACGTCTTTGGAAAGCGGATTGCCTTGGCTCAATCGGCCGGGTATTGATAGCACAGAAAAGCAGACAGCGTCCCAACGGATTTTCTTAGATTATCCAAGCATCGCGAGGAGAACGCTGGAAATGTAATTCTACGGTCCGCGCGCGCTGGCCTCCCTCTTATAAAAGATTCGAAGTAAAAAATCATAATAAGGCTTTAAAGAACGCGCGTGCAAGGCAAAAATTTGTTTTATGCTTATTGCTTTAGAACGGTTACTACTGCAGACGCCAGCACGTGCGACGCGTGCAACTACAGTCGTTGCATGCACCTCGGTGCGTGGATAATTTAGAAAAAAGGTCTGTTGAGACGCTGTCTGCTTTTGTGTGCTATCAACAATCCGCTTTCCAAAGACGTTGCCATGCCGACAATTTTCGCGTTCATTTAGGCTTAGGAATGCCCAGAATCGAAACACTATCTAAAAAATGCGGCGATGTCATCGCCCATGCTTTGCGGTTTAAGTGAGGCAAGGCAAGGCGAAAGCCTCCTGCACCATTCGTTGCTGACTAACCCGCCCGATATTGCAGCTACAACGACGTATTAGTTCCAAAGCGAGCGGTGCTCACTCACAGGGGCACCGCCATGTTTTCCCGCATCCCTACCGAGCCAGTCACGTGATCTCAAAATCCCTCTCCTAGGTACTGCGGCTAACTTTAGCCGCGGTTAGCGCTTCGAGCAAACGGGCCCTGGTACCATTACTAATTTCCATATACCTCTGACCACTTCATATCTATTATCGTTCCATAGTGCCTTGAGCTTCATAATAGATGCATTTCTTTTTCCTTTCTAATCATATTTTCCTCCTGTTCCTCTGGATATTTCCTTCCCTCATTGAGCCAGACTCCCAGATATCTGTATTTTCCTACATGGTCTATTACAATGTCTTGTATACTCAGAAGTTCCTTCTTTTACTCCAGACTTGTCACTACTAAACCCATGTCCAAGGTATCCCCTTCCTCTCCACATATTCCAGCTAGTTTCTGCAATGTATCCTAATTATTTGCCATGAGTACTATGTCGTCCGCATACATCATTCTATAGTATAACCTGTATTACATTTC